CACGAGGATTTTAGGCGCTGGTGGGCCGCGAACGAGGCGCAGCCGAGTCGGCCCAACCCGCGCCTAAAATCCGAGTGGCGCTGAAAACCCGTCTCTCGAGGATCAAACGGCGCTTTTAGTCTTCCCGTGACGTCCGAGCGAAATTTTCGGGCAGCCTCGGCGTTGGCACGACGGCGGCCTTGGCGGCAGAGGCGGGGCGCGCCCCCCACTTTTTCCCAGCCCTGGTGGGCTGCGATTCCTTGTGGCATCGATAGGGGAGTCCGGGGTGCTTCAGAACGACTGGCAGCGGTCCGCGGTGCCCATGGCCGAAATTGACGCTCGCCGAGCGTATGCGCGACGTTCGGGCGCGGACATCGGATGGGGGGAGCACGGCGATTTAAAGCCCCGCGGCTCAGCCCTTGCATCTGTATGGTGCTGGGACGTCGACAAACGATCCCCGAGGCTGCGCGTGGTCAAACCTTTGCGTTTTGGGCCGAGATCATGCTGGTGCACCACCGCGCGTAGGCCTAAACTCGACTCGCTAGAGTCGCAACACCATCGAAATCATGTCGCGTCTACGCACCCGTGCGCCCCGGGGACGCGTGGACGTCAAGGGCGCCGGGGCCGCGGGCCGTCGAGCCGAAACCGCGGGGGGGGGTGTCGGCCGTGGGCTCGGTAGGGCCACCAACGCCGAGCAAGTGGTACGGTATAATGTAGTGGAATAGTATGTATACAGTATAATGTAAATCCTAGGGGTTTTTATAAAACTCGCCTTGTTTTGATCCGCTGCAACATGTTTTGATCCGCTGCAACTTGTTTTGATCCGCTGCAACCCAAACATTCAACTTGTTTTGATCCGCTGCAACACGTTTTCTTGAACAAGGACGTCACGGCAAGACTAAAAAAAAATAATTGCCACAAACTCTTGGAGCATGTCAAGGAGCATGGCCGCTCCTGCGCAGGACAAGGCAGCCGGTGAAGCTGCCGAACCGCCGCCGCCGCCGCCGGACGAGGCAGCCGGTGAAGCTGCCGAACCGCCGCCGCCGCCGCCGGACGAGGCCACCGCCGCAAAGCCGCCGGCGCGGGCCCCGCAGGCGCGGGCCGACGTGACACTGATCCACGTCTGCGACCGATACGTGGCCGTGGACAAGCCCTTCGACATGCGCATCGACGGCGGGCGCGAGGGCCGCGACGAGGCGACGCTCATCGACGTATTGCGCGCGCGCGTGCCGGCGCACGCGCGGGAGCTGCGGCACTGCCACCAGCTCGACTACGCGACGTCGGGCGTCATGCTCTACGCGCTGTCGCGCAAGGCCGCGGGCGAGGCGTCCGTGTGCTTCGAGCGGCGGACCGCGCGCAAGACCTACGTCGCGCTCGTCGTCGGCGACTGCGACTTCGAGCGGACGACCTGCGACCTGGGCGTCTGCCAGGACCCCGTCGACGACTTCCGCATGATGTGCGGCGACCGCG